ACAAAGCCTGAACAGAAGTTATTATTAAAAATAGTACAAGTACTATCATAGAGGTAACTCTAAGACCAGAAAGTCCCGAAGAAACGTGCTAAACTTTTTGGCTCAGCTCTGGTACTCTCTTCGGTCCCAAGCTAATCGATGCACCCCTCGAAACATAGGAAAATTCACTAACCCCTCATTTTATCTGTCAAACTTTCATAGCGAATAAAAACAAACATTGTGTAGTAGTAGAATTTCGACTAGGGGTACGTTAATCGTTTGCTTGGGACCAATTGGCTATTCAAGTAGTGAGCCAATTTAAAATCGTTAGTTTCGTATTGATTGTTGGTGCGATTGCGCCCATTGATTTAACACACGGCGGCTCTTTATCCAGGATTCGGTCCTCAAGCTGCTGGTATAAAATACTATCTAAGTTACACACCTGTGTATAATTATTATGGGCGGGATTGCATCGCGCTTATGAGCAGCGCGTTTCGACCGTCACCAAATGAGAATTTAACATAAGCGCGACAATTTATTTTTGACAAAATGTAGAGAAAAAATCGATCATTACCTTTGGGGGCGCGTATTACCCCCACGTTCTCCTACGTATTTGATTATCACTCAAAATAATCTACACGTTGAAGCTACGTGAAAAATCACGTAAGTCCTCACTTTTTCCTCTCCTCTCAGTTTTACGTGGCTCACGTAGAATGTACGTGATGTCCCTTGAATTCCAAAGGGAGTTCCTGTTTAACACACCTACATAATCAATAAAATGTACGTGATTTTCACATAACTCTGAGTCAATGTTTTTTTCACGTAAAGCTTATGAGATGTCCACATGTAAACAAAAGAGTGGTACGTACACTCAGAGCAGTGCAAATCATGGCAGCATAATAATGGGCGTTTGTTCGGTATTTTATTAAGAAAGTGGCAAGATGTAAGTATAAAATTATGGATTATTTGTTTCTCTTTGACAAAAACAAACTGACTGTTTCATCGTACTTAACAGAATGATGTCAAGCTGTCCAGCAGTATCTTCATCAAGGGAAAAAAGCATCTAGGCCCATCTCCATGGTCGTCCAGATTTGTGCTGCGTATCGAATATAAAAAAATGATGATGTGATGATTACTTAGTAATTTTTAATAAATTAAAGGAATATTACTATTATTACTATTAATACCGTAAAGATTTTCATTTTTCATTTTCATTTTCATTTTGCAGCGTTTGGTGGGGCAATGGGAGCGCAAGTCAATCCAAAGCCGAGAATAAAGGAAGGGTAATGGCAGAATAGTCTATGCGGACCACTTGAACGCCATTGGAAAAGGAAGGGATTGAAGAGGTCGGTTATTGGGGGTTTTTGAGGAAATGACATATAGTACTAGATTCGTGATGCAAAATGTAAAGAAACCGAAAATCCATCTCCCACTGATTCATCCTTTCACATATATACCAAATTGATATTTTAAAGCAACCATCAAAATAAACAGACAATATATGAAAAGGCTAGTTGCCAGTTGCTTTAATTAATACTAACAGACGACTCGAGCTATGGTGCTTACTAGCTCACTGCAGCTTTTAGGCTCGTATTTTGATCAACTGTGTGTATTAGATTACGACCATAAATCCGGAGAACCCCGAGATCAGGGCGCAATCGCCCCTGCAAACAAACACGTCAATCGCCGGTCTCCCGCGAACAAAAGAACAATCATGCAAACAAACTATACCAAATCATAGAGGAACTATTCCTCTACCTGTTTGTGTTATTAGTTTTTCCAGACTGACCCCCAATCCGCGAGAAATCGGCAAACGACGTGCCCATCTACAAAAGCAACTACGCTCCAACCTCGAAGCTCTCCGGAAATATGTGATAAATCATGTAAATGTAAATGGAATACAGTAATGTCCCGATTTTGTCAGCCCCCTTTTTTGAAAATGTTTTCCAATGTTCTACAAAACCCATGCCCTTTTTCAGTAATCTTCTTGAACCTATTGCACCAAAGTATACTTTAAATATCCCTCTTAACGATGAATGAGAAAAATTTAGATTTATGGGTATGTGAAATTATTGAAAGAAAAAAGTCTGAAACCCGGAGGGGCTGACAAAATCGGGTCATTACTGTATTTAAAATAAATAAATTCATTCTTACCTTTTTAAGGTTGTTTGATTATTAATTGCTATTATTACCTGCTTAGAGTTGGTTGCTTCAAAATACTGTGTAGAATTTACCTCATTATTCCTCAGCTCCATCGATTTCCGTTCCTGCGTGGTTTTTGTGATATAACCACGCTCGGCATATTATCCTGTAGTGCGACTTGGGCGTGCACCATGCAAGTAACTCATCTCTCGTCAAGATGATGGGATATGGGGTGATGGTGAAGGGATATGGAAAACGAATAAAAGAACAGAGAGAAAGGTATTAGTATTGGTTACATTAACCCCCCCCCCCACACACACACACACACAACGAAAAATAAACACTACCACCATCTGTTGAGTATCATGTGATGGATAGTACGCTGAACAGATGGCGCTAGTGTGCAGACGTCAAACGCAAGGGAACCGACCATGCGCGCCAAAGGTGGCGGCACCAACAACCAAAAACACTCAAATTGACCGTCAAATGCGTGTTCGATGAACCACCTGCGAGTGTTATGTCTGTTTGTCTGTGATAGATGGGTTATTAGGAAAGTACAACTACATTATGATTATTAGTGCAATGGATGAACGTTAGTTTCGGGGTCATGTTATGACCCGTCAAGTTTCGAAGTGCAAAAAAACTGTTAGAACTTTCTTATAAATTAACTTTTTAACACTCAAAGCAAACTGTTTACCTTAGCATTACAAAAGCGAATTTAAAAATACTATTTTATTTTATGCTAAGATTAAAATTATGATAAAACTACAATTTACTGAAATTAACTCGCTTGAACCGTTCAAATCAATGAACTGAAGAAAAACTTAAATATTAACAAATTGCAAAAAAAAATCATAGCGACACTTGACAAATCATCATCAAGCCCCTCATCCTTGGACAGGGACTATTAATACCGTAAAGATTTTATCTACATAGGTATTAAGGAGATATTTGTATAAACAGTGTCAAATATTGATACTAGAATACTCCAATGAATGTCACCGTCCAAATCACGTAACTTCTGTGTGATAATCCTTCGACGGTTAAGTTTCATGAAGTGAGTGCCCCTACATGAGAATCACGTAGCTCTTATGTGAAAAGTACGATGGAAAAAATCTACGTATGTTTTCACGTAGCATTGACGTGGAAATTATTCTATAGTATTGTCGCATTAATGGCTTGCTCTTCAGAACTTGCTCTACTTAATTAATTAGCGCACAAAGTATCATGTTGATATAAGTACAGCATTTCCGTTCAAGTCTGAAACTAAATAATTAATTGATCTTATTCTATATCTTGATGGTCCCTTCAATATCGAGGTATGTAGAGTTGACTATAGCTATTTAAAGCAAAGTTGATCAAATTAGATATAAGTGACAATCATGAAAACTATCGGGCCAAATTGCTAAAGGGTGTCCACGATGAAATTGCCACACTATGAAATTGCTCTAACTTTTTAACCGTTGGGTAGAATTTAATGAAAATTTGGGTGGATTTAGTTCATAGTGCATTATTTAAATCCTGCAAGTTTTAAAGTCCTGTGATCAAAACTCGCGGAAATGGAGTCGAAAGAACAGCTCGTGCGTGATAAAATCTTGCGCATTCATCACGAGAACAAGGATCTCTCGCATCGTTCCATCGCTAAAACGTTGGGAATCGCGAATTCCACGGTGTCGCGAGTGATTAAGCGGTTCGAGGAACGGTTGACCACCGATCGGAAGCCCAGAAGTGAAGGAAAAAGTATTCCGTACAACACCAAAAATCACAACCGCGTAGTTGGGGCCTTCAACCGAAATCCGAACGCCGCCGTTAGGGATGTGGCTAAGAAGCTGCACCTAAGCCGAAGTTTTGTCCAGAAGGCCAAAACTAAGGCTGGGCTTCGAACGTTCAAGGTACAAAAGGCCCCTAATCGCGACGAGAAGCAGAACAAGTCCGCCAAAACCCGTGCCAGGAAGTTGTACCTCAACATGCTGACGAAAGTTGAATGCTGCATCATGGACGACGAAACATATGTGAAGGCCGACTTCAAACAGATCCCCGGCAACCTGTTTTTCACGGCCAAGGATAAGTTCAGCGTTCCGGAGCATGTCCGCACTCAGAAGATGTCCAAATTTGCGAAGAAATTCCTGGTTTGGCAAGCCATCTGCACGTGCGGGAAGCGGAGTGCACCTTTGTAACCCCGGACACGATGAACGGACAGGTGTACATAAAAGAGTGCCTCCAGAAGCGGCTGCTTCCTCTCCTGAAGGCCCACAACGTCCCAACAATCTTCTGGCCGGATTTGGCCTCATGCCACTACTCCAAGGACGTGCTGAAGTGGTATGCGGACAATAAGGTCAATTTCGTGCCGTAAATGTTCAACCCTCCCAACACTCCGGAGCTCCGCCCCATCGAGAAGTACTGGGCGATTATGAAGCAGCACCTTCTTAAACGACCTAAGGTAGTGAAGACAGTCGAGGAACTGAAGAAAGTATGGGTTTACATGCAAAAAACGGTTGATTCACAGGTTGTGCAGAATCTTATGGCCGGGGTTAAGGCCAAGGTGCGGGCATTTGCGTATGGACTGTAAATAAAATACGAGTAAAATGGTAAAATGAAGTTTAATAGTTATTTCTCAATCCCTGAAAATTTGATGGCAATCGGATGAAAACTCGAATTTTGCGAATCAATTTTGTGTGTGGCAATTTCATCGTGGACACCCTTTATTTCAACAATTGTACTGGGACCTTTCATTGCTGTACAAGTTCAAATTCCAAGCAAATCTCACTTTCTACGGTCTTGAGGTAGCAACAACATTTATGATTATTTAGACACTGTTCAATTTATGGTGTTTGCACGGTATTATAAGTTCAAGTTCGGATTAAAAAAAAACAAAAACCTTCTAGGGAAAGCATGAACGAAAGTAAGATTATTTATTTCTCTGTATTGACATACACCGTCATCTGCTGTAGTATAGTAGGAATAGAAATGAAAATTTAATGTATAGGTATACACTTGCAGAACACCGGATGTGTCACTGTAATCGAATTGCTCTTGATGCATGAACGAAAAGCTTCCAATGAATTTTGTTGTTCTAAACTCTAAAGCATGCGGCTTGCGTGAAATTAGATGTTTTAAAACATTATTAGCTACCCGGCAAAGGATAGCAACACGAAAGACAAGCCAAAACTGCAAATTGAGACATTGTGATTGATTTTCTCGAATAATTCATGACATGTTTAAAATTAAACTGATCCTAGTTTATGCTGAATTTCGTACTGAATTTCTTCCGCTTTTCTTTCTAGCAACAAGGCAATGGAATCTAGTTTTGCTATTATTGTTTAATGAAATGATAGCCGTTCCGATCATAGATGTAAAGCCGGTCTAGTTTTTTTCTGCTTCAGAGACATCAACCAACAAAATGATTTTCCTTCCTACCCTTTGAAACGTCGATGATAGTAGAAAATGTGTTGCTTTTCTCTAATTTTTCCAGATCAGATCCTATTGCAACAAGATTCTACTTCGCTGAAACCAGGGACGAGTGAAACGGAAGGACTATGCTGCTTTTGTGGTTTGAGTGAAGATTGTTCTCCGAGATAAAACTGCTCCCACCGCTTCTGTTGTTGATCTTTTGTCTACCTTATAGAAAGCAACCACCGAATCCCACAGTATTCCATGCCCTCTTCCATCGACGACCGCTTTCCGTGATGGCTGACGAGGGTGATTCGGAAACGGTGTTCCTTTGTGTGTATTAATCCGCGCTATTCTTTAGGATGATTACCAAACCGGGAGCTCATTTCCTTTTGTAGCTGGAGTAGAAGGTTACAATCTGTTCGAACTTGACCGGGATCGCTTCGAGAATGCCAATGTAGCTGGAACTGTGCAGTTTCTTATCCTGCAACGACTCTCCGGACAGGTAGGTGATGATGTCCGTGCGTTCCTTGTCGGCATGGTTCGAGACGATGTGGTTGCAGAACTGAACAATCTGACAGAAGACGGCTGCTTCGCGGTCTGCAGGCAAAACAAAAACAGTATGAAAACTATTTGAACACACTTCATTGGAAATCAAGCGCAGTTACTTACCCATTTTTTTCGGAATTTTGAATAATGGCATCGGAAGCATCTCGTGGCTCTTCTGGGTACGAAGGAAGCGGTTTCCTTTGCTGAATTCATACTCGAGCCACTTAATGGCATTGCGTGCACCGTCGCTGTGTTTCTTCAACTCGTCCAGATCCGATAAAACTGGAATGGGAATCGTGAAATTGCATCATTGGCGAACGAATTACAATAGGTGATAAGGTGAGCTGGATAAACAAATTAGTTTATGGGAACTTGATAAATTCAAGAGATAAATTCGAACGGCTCGTATATTTTGCATCTGAATACTCAACCATAAATTCCGATTGTATTAGTGTATTAGTATTTAATTAGTTAATGGTATGTTGGTAGATGAATATCACTAACACGGCAGGGCAGTAGGCCAAATAATGCCATGTTTCTTTATTCATTCATTCATGAAGTAGATCAAGATTGACAATTCGAGTAACACCTATAAGTATGAATGTAACCCTTCTTGATTTCGGTTAGGTCATACTTAGGTTTGGTCTTCATAGAGCGATTCATCTTTGTCATCGGTGTTTTCAATAGTTGTACTACTGAAACAACTACAATACTACATATGGAGAAAAATAATATTGGTCTCCTGGAAGCTTAGACTGGTCAATGAATTTAATTATTTATATTCCCAATTATTTCCGGGTGTCCAAAATATGTTTCTCTGAATAGAATATAAGCAGCTAAATAGGTAAAAAGGGAATACCAAACAATTGTTGATTTCAGCAATAGATGTGGCTAGTAAAAAATATTTCGGCATTTTTTTTTTCTTCTTTGGTTTGTTTTCCGTCGATCTTTTTTCCGTACTGAGTACCAATGCTACCGACGCCAGGCCATAGAGGCAACTCCAACACCTGGATCCTACCATCGACCCATCAAACTCACGAACCGAGGACCAACGGCTTTACTTCTCTTTCGAAGGAAGGCGTGACCAGAGATTTTATGCCTCAGAAAATCCCGGCGGCGCCGACTGGGATTGAACCCAGCCCTTTTAGAGTGAGAGGCAGTAACGGTTACCACTACACCACCGGCGCCCCTACGGCATTTTATTGTATATGCTGAAACCGAATGCCGAAGGGCACTATGCCGAACGCTACTTCATTAGACCAAAAGTCGGAAAATTATAGATTGGGCTTAGATGATTAAAAACACATTGAGATATAGGGAACAACATTTGTGATCGCTTACAATTTTTTCCCATGTGTAAAACACTGGAAATGAGAAAACGGCGTTCAAAGATTTTACAAGTATTTTATGACCAAAACCTGTGTGGAACTGACTTGCGATTATATTCAACGTAAATGAGAAAAATAACCGCAAGTCAGTCACAATGCCATGACGATACCGCATTAGTTTAGCATAGAATTGAACAGTGAAATAATACCATGGTCCCATATAACGTTATTGCATGTTTTTGGAGTCGTACCGCTGGTTCCGGAACTATGGCCGGAACATATTCCGGCGAGTATGGGTCTTGAGACCCATAGAAATTTGGTCAGAAATTTTCAAAAACGTGCCAAACCCACCATGCGATAAATCAATTCACATTAGAATTCGAACAGAAAATCAATAGGCGTCATGATGAGTAACCAGCACCATGTTGGTCACACCCGGCCATGTTTCGGGTATCCCCTGTGAAGTGGTAAAACCTTTTTAAATCAAAATTCATCATGCGACGCATCAAATCACATGAGAATTCAGTGATTTGAACTATACTGCCGTTATACGCATAAGAGTCCCACGGTACATAAGGATTGCATAGAACATGGGACAGTTATGCGTATAATGGCAGTATATTGGCCACATCCAGACATGTTCCGGATACCCTAGGAAGTGATCAGAATCTGTCTTGGGTCAAATCTTATTCTTAATTCAATAGAAGCAAGCCTAAACACATAGCTGTTACGTTGTTTTATAGTTTATTAAATAAAGTCACATTTCTCCCAAATGTGATAGACTTGCGGTTACTTTTCGTTGTGGGACAATTTGACATGGTATTGTTTTTCATTTTTCTTGAACAAGTTAACTTTTTTCAATAGCACAGTTTAAAAAACATAGAAAGATAAACTGAATAATAATATTCAAAGTGTTTTTATGTTACTTCATACGCGAGGTTAGCGATTTTCAGAGTTGGTTGGAAAATGCTAACATGAAGCTTTAGTGTGATAATTCATTAGCTAGAGAATGATCTTTTTTTTTTTAGAAGAGGGTAGGTGGATAGTTCCGTTAGAGTACGGCAGTATGAAAATTGAATAGAAGTTGAAAATGAGCGAAGGGCCATTAATGCGACAGTTTTTAAAGATAGACGCACATCTTTGCCTAACCCGTACGATGTACGCGGAGACTTGAAGTATGTCTCCAAGTCTACAGGCAAAAATGTGCGTCCCTCTTTTGCTCATAAACTGACTGCGGCTGTGGAATAGTTCTAGCGACGTTTTCATCACTACCTAAAGCCCCACGTTGCGAGAGCATTTCCAGTCGATGGTGTGTTATAATGCAATTCTTCTTTACCCAACTATTGTGTTGCTCCTCTCGTCATGACAACTTCTGAGATGACCAAGTTGGCCAACTTTACAAAATTACAGAACACCAAAATGTGATATTTCACATCATGTTGTGAATTTCCCATTTGTCGAGAAGCAAAATATGTGTGTCTTTATCAGTATTTAACTATAAGATGGAACCTTAGTCAATCCAGTCCATTTTAAATACATTAAATGCACGTAAATGTTTCAAATCCACATTGAACCTACCTGCCGTGGGAATCAAAATGACAAATTTCTTCGTCTTAACAAGGTTTTTGACAATCGACGTGTATTCGGTCAAACACTTTGAATCAAGCATCAGATACGGAGTTAGTGTAATGTTGACCACTCTCTTGACCTAGAAGAATGAAAAATCCTTGTAATGCAATTGACCACCTACTTATCATACCCTTATCAAAGTTATCATACCTTTGATTCCAAAGTCTTCACCTCGTTCCGCAACCACAACTGGCCCATCAACTCGTTGATGTTCTTCTCCGGTTGCCCCTCATCTCCCGTATTATCCGAGTGCGTGGATTCTCCCCTTTTTTGCTGGCAATCTGTTGTGGTCTTCTGCAAGAGTCTGCATCCGTTGGTCTTATTCTTCAAATACCCCTTCTTGGTAATGATGATGGGAGCCACTTTTCCATCACCTTCTTGGCTGGATTTTGGGCCTTCCCTACTGGAACCGGTTCCCGCTTTGCGACGTTCGCTTTGCTGGCGATTACGGTCCCTGTTGCGTCGTGTCCTCACCTCTCCACGCTGTTCCTGCTCGTTGTGTTGCTTTCGCGTGCGACGCTTCTCTTGCTGTTGCTCCTGTCGGCGAACGCGCCGGTTGGATTCTCCTCTTCCGATACGTTTGTTTTGATCTTCCTTCTTGCGTTGTTGTTGCTTTTGCTGTTTCTTACTCTTCAAACTGAAGTCACGGGATTTCGGACAGAATGAATATTCAAACTTTTTGGATTTACACAGCGAGAAACCGAAATCGACCATCTTCATGAGACGCAGGAAACTCAACTCCGCCGGGGTCACTTCCAGGCGATAGTTAGTCTCCCAGTCGAGGGTTTCCTGGGTATCCTCAAACAGTGGGAACCGTTTCATGCACATGTCCTCATCCAGTGGGATTGTTCGACGAATTTCGAACAGTGAACGGAAATCTTCCCGCACGCCCTTGACCGTGATCAACTGACGTGGGAAATAGTAACGGTTGGAGAAAATGTCTATGTTGAAGTGGTTCAGTAGTTTCATAATATTATGTATGAATTCCGGATTGGAATGGTAGCATCCGATCAGAATGTCGATGTTGGCGTGAAGCCAATCGAACAGTAGCATCAACGAACGGATTGTGCGTTCTTGTTCGGCGAAACCGATGATAATATTCGGGTTCAATTTGTGATAGCGCTTCTTGAACTTGAGCTGCGTTTGTAGATCGTCGAAATTGTTATTGTTGCTTTCTTGATCGGCGCTGTGGTGGTTCTCGGCTTCCACGGAATTGGATTCTTCAAGCTTGTTCTTATTGGACTTTGCGAATGATTGTCCGTCTTCTTCGTCATCGGTGAAGTCATCGTAAGAGTCAAAACTTGAAATGGAACTAGCGTTATCTTCTTCGGAATCTGAATCCAGTTGGAAGTCGCTGTCATCTTCCCCATCGGACAGTTCCGATTCCGATTCGTTCGACAAGACCCGACGACGACGACGGGCATGTTTCTTCCGGTTTGCAGCCCGTTTAGAGCTCGTCTGGCTCTTGTTGTCAATTTCCTCGTTTTCTTTGTTAGAATGGTCCTCGCTTCCATTGCCTTCTTCAACGCCGGATGAGGATTTTTGGTCCTTGACAAATGTGGACGCAGTCTCTTTCAACGATTGACGGGACTTGCGAACTTGTTCGTCGTATTTTTGGTACATTGACATGTACAGTTCACGGAACTTTTTGTCGTCTCGTACGTTCTCTACCATGTACTTTTCCACCGCCATGGTACAGTACTCCAAAAGTTCCGAGCACAATGCCACCATGAACGCATTCAGGCTGTAAATCTTGTCCGAATTGTTGATTTGTACTTTATACATACAGAAGAACAAGATCGAAACTATCTTAAAGATGAAATCATCCGTTATGTAATACTCGTCATCAACCAAACGGCGAGCTCCCAGCACATTCTTGAAGTCGATCAACACCGAGTGACACAAACTGGTGAAGTCTGTAACACTCTTGTCGTAGAAAAATACATCAACTACTAGCAAGAACTTGGCCACAAACTCTCGGATTGCGTAATCCTCTTCTTCTACAGCTTCTCCTCCGTTATTCTCAAGATATCGAATGTTTTTCTGGAAAATTCTGCTCACGTTTAGTTCACTGCAGTCGAATGGAACTGGACAGCACAGCGAATACAGATAATGGTACACCGAATCCAAATTGTAGTTTCGTCCGTTGAACAACGTTCCCAACTGATTTTGGGTGATGCCGATCTTCGTGTTTAGTTTGAAAGCTTCCCAGTAGTATTTCGCTGTTAGATCCTTTATATTTTCCTTCACTACTAACCCGTCTAGTCCAAACTCACAGTAGTATCTATGCAGATCGCCCAACGCGGTCAACAAGGAATGGATTGATTCCAGCGCAAACGATACCTCCTGCTTAGTGTAGATCACCTTTTTATCTTCAACGCTCCTCTCCACTTCCAGTTTCAAGTTTTCGTAGCATCCCGATTCTCGCACCAGCAGTTCATCATCATAGTTCTCCAACAGTCCGTAGCTAACTAAATTCTTCAGATTGTCCATGTTGAAAATCTGCGCCATCCGTAGCACAATCACTTTCAAATGATTTATTCCATCCAGCAGCAATCTTTCCGCACCTTGCTTCAACTGTTGCTCCTTTCTGACCAGTTCGACACTCTCGCCTTCGGTGCTCTTCCGCTGTTGCTGCAGCTGTTGGTGGTGCTTTTTGAAGACGGCAATCAGATCGTAATAGCCCTTGCGCCACAGGATTTCACGGGCCTTCTTGCCCACCGTCTCGTAGTCCTCGAATATCAACGTAACGCAGCGGCCTACCAACTGCCGATGCTCCTCGATGAAGTCATTCGCCAGCATCGCCGGCACGGTGAGCGTACCCTTACGGTCATCCTGTTGCTTGACCAGGGCGTAGACAGATCTGTGTGTTTGGAAGGTAAGAGAAAAAGAGAATTCTTTTAAAACAGGTGAAACCAACACATGGGGCTAGTGTAACACTTACACGAATGTCTTACACTGAATGTTTAAGGCTTTCATGAGGAAGATATGTACAATTTGAAGAATATTCAATGAAATTTAGAAGAGCTAGTTCAAACACTACGTAGACAGTTTTCGATAGGTTTAGAATCAGCCAGTTCCTCCTGTATAGAAGGAAATTTGTATGGACTGTAGATTCTCGCAAAGCACCATGCCAAATATGTCTACTTTTTTATGAACAGTTTAAAGGTAAATTTTATAAAAATATGAAGGCTTTCCTGAAAAAGATTATTACAGATTCCTAATGGAAATTTAGAACACTTGTTGAAGAAGTCCAAGGTTTCACATTTCCAGGGGATGTTTTAAAATTTTCAATTTTCTTCTACAGGAATGTCAGGGGACTTTAATGGCAAGTTTGGTAGTCTTCCGGGGAATGTTCAGAGCTTGATGGGAAAAAATTCAGAGAAAGTTTCAGAGCCAAATAATAATAAATGGTCCAATGCTCAGAAATTTGAATATATGAAATGTCGAACGGTCCAAAGAGGGAGAATATCAAGTTACGTAGATACATTTTGAACGGGAATAGTGGTTTTAATAGCCTGAATTTTCATTGAGTTTGGGAGAATAACGGGTAAGGGAGAGGTTACTGTATCGGTGCATCAAAAATGTGGTATTTGGTAATTGCAAATTTGAACATATTTGTATTTCTGTGGCAAAGATTTCAGTTGTATTGATCAAGGTTGCAAAGACTCATTTCAGCTAAAATAATGTTTTTCGGAATAATAAAACCAAAAGATGGTATGATGGCATGTTTTACTTGTAACTTACAAGAAGAGGTTACAAAGTATGCGTTGGAAACATAAAACCTGTAAATTTTGCTTTCTATGAGTCACAATCAGCGATTTGCTGATCGCTGAGTGAGTGAGTGAGTGAGTGAGTGAGTTTGTGAAAAATCGCTGATTGTGACTCTCATGAAGTGAAATAAACAGGTTTAATATGTCAAACACATTCTTTGCAACCTCTTCTTGTATCCTGCCAATTCAAAATTTGATCATGGCATCTAATTATTTCATAATTTAGAAAAACATTGTTTTAGCTGAAATGAGTCTTTGCAACCTTGGTATTGATCATAAGAGAACAAAGTTGCAACATGTGTCAAAGTTGACCATTTTCTATGAAAATCGGTATGCGCTGCTATTATATCGAACACAGGGCTGGTAGCAATGACTGCTGTTAAAAATAGTGATTTTAGTGACCATGTTGATGAAATAAGTGGCCAAATAGCGACTTATAGTTGTAACAATAGTGACTAAAAAGTGATCTAAAAGTAAATTTTAATGAAAACTCTTAGGAATTTCTGAGGAGCACAACTCCTGTGAGCTTCAGAGAAAAATTTCAAGGGCATCTGAGCATATTTTTTATAAAGTTTGTGGGAGAAAACGAATCCGGAGCATAAGCCCTTGGATTTTTTTTTTTTTAAATACTAAAAGGAGGATTACAATTAAATCTGAGAATAACTCCAGGACAGCTTCAAAAGAATTCAGGAGAGTTTGCCAAATAAATTATGAGAAGAAATCTAAGGAATTTGTAAGGAGAAATGCCAATGAATTCTTATGAGACTTTCAATGTGAGTAAAATACCAAGGGAAGGAGTGAGATTGAAAAAGAAATCTGAAATGAATTCAATGAATATTCGGAGAATCTTTCGAAAGGGTTTCTTATTGTGGAGAATTTCAAGGTAATTCCAAGGAAAACTAAAAGAAAATTGAAAATAGGTTCACCAAAATTTTGAGGAATATTTCAATGGAAATCTCCGTTGAATATGGAATAGACTGTTCTGAGGTTTTCAGAACTACTTGAAAGTTTCCAAATTTTTCCTGAAGTTAATTAAACTGCCTTTTGTAGTTTGCGAAACTAGTCTGAGCCTCACAGTACTTCTCATCAAATTTTTCAACTTCCCTGAACTTTTTAGGACTTCTAAAAGTTTCCTAATTTTTTTCAATGATCATGGATCTTCTCTAATGGTTTAACAATTCGCTGAAGTTCTCTAAACTTATTTAAAATTTTAAATTTAATTTTCTTTAATTCTTCTGCTCTAAGGTTCTCTGTTCATTTCTGAAATTCTCCAAACTTCTCTAGGTTTTGCAGTTCTCATGAAGCTTGATGTTCTGCGCTGAACCGTCCTAACAATGTTTAAGCTTCAGTGATCTTCTGAACTTATGCGAAGACCTCAATAAACTATTTAAGGTCTCCGAATTTATCTGAAAATCAGGGAACTGCTTTAAATTTCCCAATAATTTTCTGAAACTAATGGAACTGACCTCTCCCTGAAATTCCTCCAATTTTCGGAGCTTACTAAAATTCTCATTATCGACACTAAATTAAAACTTCTTCAATAGTTTTTTTCTGGTCTTTCCTGATGTTATTTAAACTGCCTAAACGATTTTTGAATTTCTTTAAAGTTCTCTAGACAGCCCTGAATTTATCAGTGTTTTTTAAGAACCCGCTTACCTAAAGTTCTCTGAATTTGTTTAATAATCAGGTAAATTTTCTGATATATTTTTATAATTTCCTGACGCTTCTGACGTTTTTGGATCAATCGTAGAATTCTTGAAATATCCCACAATACCACGGAACTTCTTGTAAGTCGCTGCAAAATTGCTTAAGTTAATGGGATTATTCTGAAGCTATCTGATCGTCCTTGAAGTAGTCGAAACTTCGCTGAATATGAATTTCATTTCTTTTTCATTTTGCAGCGTTTGGTGGGGCAATGGGAGCGCAAGTCAATCCAAAGCCGAGGATAAAGGAAGGGTAATGGCTGAATAGTCTATGCGGACCACTTGAACGCCATGGGAAAAGGAAGGGATTGAAGAGGTTGGTTATTGGGGAGTTTTGAGGAAATGACACATAGTACTAGATTTGTGATGCAAAATGTAAAGAAACCGAAAATCCATCTCCCACTGATTTATCCTTTTACATATATATCAAATTGATATTTTAAAGCAACCATCAAAATAAACAGACAATATATGAAAAGTCTAGTTGCCAGTTGCTTTAAAGGCTAGTTGCCTCCCTAAGCGGACCCCCCGCATCCTAACTCTTTTGTTAATCTACTTAATGTTATTGGGCTGTCTAAATTTTCTTATTTAAGTTCGTTTGATGATTATGATATCTCATTAGCCTTATTTAATAAATATTTGAAATATTTGAAATATTTGAAAACCTAGTCAATCATAACTCATGCTATACATATTAAGTACCTAAGCTGCTATTTAATCTAAAATTTCGTTTCCACTATGTCGTCCCAATTACGTATGGATATGTCACAATTGAAGCACGCCACAGTGGAAATCCCTAGCCATAGTTCAAACACTTATCCCAAATCAAAATGAAGCACATATAAGATTAGTTATAATACTATGTACAAAAATTGTGTTTAACATTGTTCCCTGCAAATAAAGGTTATCTTGTGTATACAATGGATACCAAAATTAATTAAGTGGTATTAAATGGAAGATAACCTTTATTTGCTGTTTTATTTAAGCATTCCGCTAACAACCCAATTTCATTACTTCATTGTTCCCTGAGTAATGCTTCAATGAAAACGACAATGAAAGCATGAACTTTGGTTCTCTCATGCAATGGTTCATCGGAGAGGGGAAGCTCAGTAATCCTCATCGCATGCTCATGACGCTATTCTGTCACGGCATGAGCCAACGATGCCGGACCTAAACCAACCGTCTCCAACGTTCCACTATGAAGCATAAGATTAGGCCCGCCCACCAACGTCCAGGTTAAAAACTAGCCAACTTGCATTTTTTTTAAATTAATGGAACTTCGTTGATGTTCTCTAATCAACTTAGCTAAATTTTCGTATTTTTTTAAGTCTCTGAAATCTCTATGATATAACATCCTTAAAATACTCTAACGTTTTCCGGTTGTTCATTTGTTTTTTATCACTTTCCAGGAATTCTCTCGGAGCTGTGCAGAAGTTTCCGGAAAACCCCGTTGATTGTCTGATCTGCCTTGATGTTCTCGATGCTTTCCTAAAGCTCTCAATTCTATTGAAGATCTCGGTTCTGCTCGAAAATAAATGGAATTCCCCTTTAAATTCCCAAGAAATTCTCTGGACTTCTATGAAGTTCCTGAAATATTTTCGAAGTTTTCATAAATTTTCTGAAGATCTCTGTACTGCCTTAAACTCTCAGAACGGGTCTCGATTTTTTTTTCAGCACATCATGGAACTATCTTGAATGTTTCTAAATTTACGATTATAGATCTTTAAACTGCCCCAAAAGTTTTGACTAAAGTTACGGGAACTGCTCTTAAGATCTGAAATTCCCCAAAGGTCTCTAGATATAGCTTTTCTGAGTTGCTTAGAACTTCTTAAAAATTTGCAAAATACCCCTCAAGTTTTCTATATTTCTCAAGTTCGCCTGACACCTGTGAAGTGTTCTGAAATTCTGGGAACTTCATAAAAGACCATAAAAATTTTCGGATGCGAAAGAACCGCTTTGAACTTGCAATCACCGTAAACTCTGAGATTCTCATAAGAAATTTTATGCCTAACAACTTTGTCCAAGACCGCATGACGATCCGAGTTGATCTGAAAGCATTTACTTGTGTTTTATACAAACTGTATCTATGTTCCGTCATATTGTATCTTCAAGTGATCTTCGCCAGCGCTACGTTTCATTCAGGCTCTTTGGAACTACATGTGGTGAAATCTGAAACGCACCTTTTAAAATGAATTGCACATAACAATCGCTTCCTCACACATCATCTGCCTCAACCAAACTAACAGAACGCACCTTAACCCTCACTGAACCAAAGGGCAGGGAGTACCAAAAGGCCGAATACCAAAAGACCGAAAAAGACACGCGCGGGACAAGTGCTCGTTACGCTCACTACGATTCACTTGCCCCGCGCGTGCCATTTTCGACCTTTGATAAATGTAATTATTTTATTTCAATACAATTTCTGCCTTTTGAAGTATTCTGCCTTTGAACATTTCCGCCTTGTAAAATCCTCTCTCTTTTGAAATTCTGCGTTTAGATTGTTTCTGCCTTTTGAAATTCGGCCTACAAAAATTCTGCCTTATGCCTTCGACCGCGGTCCCGAAAAAGGTTGAGATCCGTTGGTTGATGTTAGGTTCTCATTCGAATTCGCCTTGACACCAGTCCCGACGTGACGTTTCTTCACACACATTTTGACAGTTCCTTATGGGGTTTTGCGTTGGAGTGAGGGAATAAGAAAAAGTCCACTATGTTTCATACATAGACTGACAGTTACATATGAGATTTCTGCATAGGTGTAAAGAGTTACAAAGCTAACATATGATTTCAAATCAAAGGTTGCAGAACACATCTTCACAGAGTTCAACCGAGTAGCGTCGATGTTCGATTTCCACTTGACACGGAATATGCTTCGCCGAAGATTCTCTGCCTTTTTTGCTGACCGAAGGCGCTTGATACCCAACAGCTAAGTGTAAAATTTAAGACTTATAAATTTTTAGTAACTTGACAATGCTTTCCAAGTTATTTTTGTTTGTAACTGTAGTAACTGTAGTATATGTATGTCGTCTGTATAATCTGTACTTTTTTTACAACACATCATTGGGACTATTTCTAGTCTGTTGATGCAACCATAACAAATAAACAAATAAACAAATAAACAGAGGACCACCAATCGATATCGACGGGAACATCACGATTTTACGAACCGTATCCACACCATGGAAATTGGATGTTGCAGAAAGCCTCGAGATCAACAAACAACGTAATTCAACTTTACTCAACAGAGATCAAGGAAACGGACAGACATGGCTTTTCAAGTTACTACCTAGGACACATCAACGAGTAAGCAGCGGAGTACCTGTTCCTACAGGAAATTAAATTTAAGTTTTCCTAGTTTCTAAGTGAAAATGTACCTGTGTTAATATATATTCGGTAAATGCGATGTTTTTCTTCAGTCGAGTATTAGTACAAGACACTGAAGAAGTCTGCACATTGTAGACGAAATACGCGTATCTGTCAAGGATAAGCAAATAAGGTAGTGGAATTAAATGGAAATTACTAATCCTTCTCTCTCTCTCTCATTATACAGGTATTCCACTAAGACGCCCACATTCATCAGGATTCATTGTCACGTTACTAAAAATGTATAAGTCTTAAATTTTACACTTAGCTGTTGGGCGTCAAGCGCCTTCGGTCAGCAAAAAAGGCAGAGAATCTTCGGCGAAGCATATTCCGTATCAAGTGGAAATCGAACATCGACGCTACTCGGTTGAACACTCGCTGCAAGCCGTAAATAGCGCTCCCTAAACCCCCAATTTCTGTTAAGACATGATAACAGAAAAAAAGCTGATCTATAAATAGATCACCGGGCATTAATGGGTTAAGCTAGCAATAGCTTATATTTTAAAAATCAGGGTTATTAACTGAAAATTTAAGAAATCGCCTGGAATCATACGAACAATGTCAAACGTATTTCAAACATGTTTTATCACAATATTTTTAGTACTGAATATCAAAACACAAGTTTTATTATTCAACAATAATTGATCACTGATAAGCATATATCCATGATCGGTAAACGTCATGGTTATGGATAAATGCTACACAGTAAACAATGTGGAATGTGCAGCAATTGGCAAATTTTTTATCGAAGCTAAGTTTTCAGTTAGCTGTGTCCAGCTTTAAAGTAAAGCTTAGTTGACTAACTTTATTTAGTGGGACAGTCAAGTATGCATAATGTTGAACAATAGACTTGAAATGGCACACACGTAATAACACGTGCTCAAATAAACGTAATAAAAGTACATATAGCACATTATGTAGGCAGGAATACACAAGCCAAACCTCCGCTAGAAAGCGAAACTGTACTGTTTACAGTATCTTATCAGTAAACAGCATTACACTTGCGTAGTCTTGATCAAAGAACGGAAAAATGTCCATTAACGTACGGCACGTAGACCACAGTCATTCAGACGCTGAGCTTTCATAACGGCCAATGTCGCAAACGTAAACAATGGCTTCTTTCGTAAATTCAGTGCCAACATTTCAAAGGGGCGTAATTGCTTTTGTAAACAATGACTTTAGCCGTCAATTTCTCGCGAATGAAATCTTACCTCTCCAAAATAACATTCCTCTACCTGCTGGTGTCATTATTTTTCATGAGTGAGATTTTATTCGCGAAAAATCGACGGCTAAAGCCATTGTTTACAAATGCAATTACGCCCCTTTGAAATGTTGGCACTGAATTTATCGCAAATCAAAACCCATCCATATAAACCACCAATTCTATCGGATTGGGGGGCTCTCTCTCTCTCTCTCTCTCTCTCTCTCTCTCTCTCTCTGCCTATCATCGTGCTTGGGCAGTTTTTAATTCTCGAGAAATTCGCGGAATAAGTCATTGTTTGCATCATTTACCTTTATGATAGAAAAATCTAGATTAAATTTATCTGGCTTCAAAGAAATGCAATTTGATATGTGATTGAATAAACTCAGCTACATAGATAACACATTGCACATTTTAAGCTTGTTCGCCTTCTAAACAGAACAAAAGGAAAACAATGACTCGCGACTACCAATCGCGTGAGGAACAATAGTGTGCGATGACGTCAGAATAATCACTAATTAATGATGTCATCAATAAGCAAACACGTTTAATCAATAACTCCCCTTCACTACATAGCAGTCTGAATCGATTTCTTCTCGAATCGACAACGTACGACCTTGACGTTTATCCGAATGCCACGAGAAGTTCAATTTTTTCCCCGAAAATAAAACTATCTGCGTAGTAACAGGTTTTATAAGAGGGTATAAGGAAACTTCACTCACCTGAACAGCTGCTTTACGTCGTTACTAGAATATTCCATTGCGTTTGCTTTGTTACTCTCGCCAGATTAAAAACCAATCAAACAAATCTTTCCGTTTCCAACACTAATTTTATAAAAACCAAAAACAATCGAGCAAAAATAAAATAGTACGCTGCAATGACACCTTGAATTCGGTTCGTTTTTTTAACTCTCTTAGTTAATGGCTGCTTTTTCTCGACAGCAACAAATTATTGGAATCCGATATTGCTGCCCGTTAGCATTCTCCTTATATATTCCTCAGCCAACCAAAATAGAATCACTTTCGGAGGCCGTTTACCGTGATGCCTCACTCGCTTGCGATGTTGTGTAATCTGAAGATATCCTTCCTTCGTGGCCTAATCCCGTCAGGACGTGTTGGCCCTACTTCCTTCCGAAGTGAAACAATATTCCTCCAGCAGTTCAGTTTTTTCACCAACAATTAGCAGTAAATTTTCCATCTTCAGTGCATTTTTGGCGTGAATCTTCATCACAAATGCGGCTTAGCGAGGGTGGCGAGAATTGTTGGTTCCTGCAGGATTGTTTTCCTAGGCGTCCCACGCTAGGAATTTCACAATATTGGATTTTCCACCGTTTTCACAATACGCGCACAGTCACTCGTTGAAATTCATACAAGAAATCTCCGCAAAATGCGAAACTCTTCCGAACGAAACGTCAACCAGACTAGAAGTGAAACCTCGATGATTTGATTTTTCATGTTGGCAGATCTGGAATCAGGGATGTGCTGGATTCGAGGCTAAAACCTATGTACTAAATTTAGAACACCATTTTAGGGTTCGTTTCAGGAAAACACAATCCTCGATAATCATTTCAAAATGTCCTATCTTCTTAGATCGATTTTCCTCATCGACTTTCTTCTTTGATAACCACTGGTTATACCGACAATCAATACGAAACTAACGATTTTAAATTGGTTCACTACTTGACTAGCCTATTGATCCCAAGCAAACGATTAACGTACCCCATTCTAGTACTACGCAATGTTTGTTTTGATTCGCTATGAAAGTTTGACAGATAAAATGAGAGGTTAGTGGTTTTTCCTATGTTTCAAGGGGTGAATCGATTAGCTTGGGACCGAAGAGAGTACCAGAGCTGAGCCAAAAAGTTGAGCACGTTATTTCGGGACCTTTTAGTCTTAGAGTTACCTCTATGGTATAACCTGCATCTGTTTTCGACTTTCATCTCTCGCGTGATGCGCTTCGTCGGAAGTTTTCTTCTGTTTTTCGCCGGCAGGAGTAATTGACTATAAGATATATGTTTTTTAATGTTTTTTATGTTATGACCATGCTTGAATGTATTTTTCTTTTTACCATAGTTGATAAGGTTAACATCATTGGGGCTTCATCCAGCGCTGCCGCTTTGCCGCATTTCTACCCACAATGCATGCATGTTTTTCTTCTTTTCCGCTGTTTTGTTGCTTTCTGTAGGTAAACAAACCAGGTGCTGTTTTCTTTTTGCTGTCAGTGGTGCAAAATTGAAAACTAATTTCTCTCGTCCACGTTCAGTTTTATCGTTAAAAAAAGTCCCAAATAATAGAAGCTATTGGGAATATCATTAAATTCGTGCAAGCCGTAAAAGAACTGCGGGATCTGCAAAAAAATATATCCACGCAAAAGCGTCGGTGGTGAGTGGACCCTCCAACCAGATGCGACAAAGTGAAGGTAACCTTTTTCTCCATTCATTCCATTAACATTTCCTCTTGTTTAAACTGTATTTATTTTAAAGGATTTTACGAAACAGCATTCAAATTGATGAAAAATGAGGATCCCGAATACTTTCTCCGGACTGTTCGCATGAATTCTCAAGTATTGGATATGCTGTTGAGCATTGTTAAACCAACAATCAATACGAAACTAACGATTTTAAATTGGCTCACCACTTTAGTAGCCTATTGGTCCCAAGCAAACGATTAACGTACCCTATTCTAGTTGAAATTCTATTACTACACTATGTTTGTTTTGATTCGCTATGAAAGTTTGACAGATAACATCAGGGGTGTGTGGATTCATGCAGAACATGCAGGGGTGAGTGAAATAGCTTGGGACTGCTTGGGACCGTTGTTCTGGTACTGAGTGAGCCAAAAATAATAATGATTTTCTTCGGGACCCAGTGGTCTTAGAGTTACCTCTATGGTTAAACCACAGACAAACAGACATAACACTCGCAAATTGTTCATCGAACAAGCATTTAACGGACAATTTAAAAGTATCGTAGTTGGTAGTACCGCCACCTGTGGCACGCATAGTCAATCCCCTTGCGTTTAACGTTTACACACTACCGCCATCTTTTCAGCGTAGTGCCCACCACAGTATACTCAACAGATGGCGGTAACGTTTCAGCGACGATATTTTACAGTGAGAAATATTCAATGTGTTATGTCTGTTTGTCTGTGGTTAAACCGCATTTGGAGAAGTTTTCAATTGATGAATCTACGCAAAACTGCACCAGTGCATGCGACACCTAGGTTTGAAATCCAAAACCACAAAAGTGATGATGTACTAAAAAATATTCCATACGATTTGACAGCTAGCAAAACGTCATTATCATTTTCACATCATTTCCATCTGCTGGTTGATCGTAACGTAGATTCATCAATCAATCTACAATAAATCTTTTTTCTTCTAAACCCATCTACTCGCATCGCTCTCCACCTTTTTGCAGGAAATCTTCAAAATCATAATCAATCGAGTTTCTATCTATTAAGCGCGAGTGCATCTCACATCAGCAAAGCAAAATTTTTCCTGCATCTTAGATAGAGTCGCCCTCCTCGCCTGGATACACAGCAAAAAAAAAAGTAATATCAATCAACGTAATTCAAGCTGATGTATGAAATAATGATGTAATAGCAAAAAGCAGATACAATATTACATCAATGGATGTAATTTTGTTCGCAAAATCGATGTACATCGTATAATGTGATATTACACAACCGATGGATTGACCTGGTTGCAGCAGTTTTGATGTAATATTCAACAACTTTTTTTGCTGTGTAGTACTTTTCAATTTAAAACCTTTCATTGAATCAGTGATCACATTGACCGTTTACAAACGGTCGACCAGCAGATAGAAATCAGTGCCAACATTTCAAAGAGACGTAATTGCTTTTGTAAAAAATCGCTTTAGTCGTCGATTTCTTGCATCTTACACGCAGAAAAATTTACCGTCGAAACAAAAATATTTGAGGTAACTCTAAGACTAGAAGGTCCCGAATAAAGAGCCTGAATTTATAAAGAGACGACATCTTATCCATTTGACAGGTCTTCTGCTCGATTGGAATGACTTTTCCTATGACTTTGACAGACAATCGATTGTTCCAATTTTGAAATGTCGCCTCTTTATGAATTTAGGCTCTTTAGTCCCGAAATAACGTGCTCAACTTTTTGGCTCAGCTCTGGTACTATCTTCGGTCCCAAGCTAATCGATTCACCCCTCGAAACATAGGAAAATCCACTAACCCCTCATTTTATCTGTCAAACTTTCATAGCGAATCAAAACAAACATTGTGTAGTGCTATAATTTCGACTAGAATGGGGTACGTTAATCGTTTGCTTGGGACCAATAGGCTAGTCAAGTAGTGAACCAATTTAAAATCGTTAGTTTCGTATTGATTGTTGGTACAACGGTAGTACAACAGTGAACTTTGTATGTCTGTACAAGGTTTAACGTAAATTCATCAATAGCAAAAATAAGTAGTAAGTATTAATTTTTGAGTAACAAATACTCATAAATGGGTAATATGTATACTCATTTAATGGGTAGTCCCAGTCTCCATCGAAAATGCTTACTTTGTAGTCATTATTGGGTATTTGGCGGTTACCGTGTTGCGTAAATTCATCAATTCTCGCGTTACTTTTCAAAGAGACCAATGTAAAAAATGTAAACAAATCGAGTTAAGCGATACAAACTATTGCTCTTCTATCATTGTATGTGATACAAAAACATCCATCCAAATTTACTTTCATTTATTTAAGATAATCATAGGTCAAAAATTGTCCAATGTACAGTTTGAAATTATGGGTACATGTTTGTTACTTCGGTCATTCGGGACTGCCTAACATGATTGGTGCTCATTTTCTAAAGGCGGGGCCAACCTAAAGTTAGGTACTCTACTCTGAAATCTGTGCAAGGGAATCTAGTATCATGTAGAAAAAACGTCCAATGTAACACTCATTGATTATGTCATTGAGAAAAATCATCCAATGTAACGTGTCCAATGTATAACTTGACTAGTCAAAACGTCCTATGTGGTTTTTTTTCTATATTGTAGCATGAAATTTCATAGTAAAATTGTGATTTTACCGTTTTTAATGAATTTTCAACGTTATTATTCACTGACTACATTAAAAATGGTATTGCAAAATGCGAGGCAAAATGTATTGTTTCTAAACAGTTAAAATAATAATTTGTCGTTGAAGTTCTTCGATTTTCTCAAAATGGTGGATATGTTACATTGGTCTATTTGAAAAGTGACGCGAGAATTGCTTTGCAGCCCTGCTGTGTTTGTACTCGTTTCCAATGCTACTAGCCAGCGCTGCCATTTATACAGATTTATCTGTATTATACAGATTTTTTAATCTTAATACAGACCCGATACAGAATACAGATTTATCACAGATTTTTAAATTACAATACAGATTTATACAGATTTTTATAAAATGCTTGAGAAAAAAAATTCAAAATTTTTAAAAACAAAATAACTTGCTCGATTTTATCAGCGTACCCCCCCGCATAAATCACAACCATACGATTACCACATTAAAAATGGTTTATCTTCCTCTGAAAACCATAATGAGAAAGGTTCAGTCAACTTTAATCAAACCATACCTAGATAAAGTTTTGACCATATTGATTAAGGTTTTCGAAGACCCAACCATATGAACAATGGGTGGTTAAGAACGTTCACCATACGAAATCTCGCTTTTTCTCATACATTTTTAGCAAAACAACTATAGCCTTACCACATCAGAAAAGGTTCTAGTTGGATATGTGAAACTATTTCCATTAACTTTCGAATAAGGTAGTACGGTTTAGAACCAACCATTGTTGTTAACTTCATGATATACTATGAAATGGTATAAATTACTATACTTATTGACGTTATAATAAATACTGTCGTAGCTTATCCGGAATACAGCCATCATGGGTTGTTCTTTAATTTTAATGTGATTTACAAGATTTCTTTTTGTGGACACCTCCCTTGCTCTTGGTAACATGTTTATTGATCTAATATAAAATGAATAGATAAATGAATTTGCCCTGCAAAACAAACTCCATTCCATTTCTGGAAGATAAAAAGGCCCCGGCATAACGTACCTGCTTCGATTTCCTTTTTGGATGATGTGAGCCACCAACATCGAAATCTCCTTCACATGTAAACCGCTGTTAGCCCTGAATATTTGTGTAGAAAATGCATGCGCTTTTAAGAAATATTTTATGCTTTAAGCTATTATTACCAAGGGTTTTAAAAATAAAATAACGAACAAAACAACACAATGAACTCACGAGCACCGTTTCAATCAAAAGCGTTTTCTTCTGTTTGCACAAATTGTAAAAACATAAAGCAACCATAATCGAAACACGTAAGCGTTGTACAAGTTGTTTACAACTTTTATTCGTAATGTTTTGTAACAGTTCAGTATAGTTGATCAACCGTAACAAAATTTAGCTGAAACATACCAGAAACTGTAACAGTTGAAAGTAGTGTTTCTTTAATGTTTATTACATTCCATAAACCATAACAAAACTATTTTGTGAAAAGTTAACATAGCTAGTAAGGTGTCAGTGAAGTTTGAACTGTTCTAGAAATTGTATTTTTCTATGCGGGCCCTTCTCTCCAAAATTAATTGTTGTGCTTTACATGTGGATTATGGGGATTTACAGTATTAATTGAATATTTCCAATATAAGCATGTATGTTAAATGCAAGAAAAGTGCCCGAGCACATTAAAATGGTACAAATACAAGTACTCGTAAACATTTTACTTGCATTGAAAATGTATTTCGTAAGAAATTGCGGATTTTCTGATATTCTCCATACTGCAAAAATGATTTTACCAGCACTGGCGGGGCGACATCTCTCGACTTTTCGGTGTAACTACCACACAAATGATGTAATTAATTGTATTCATCTATATCAAAAATATGAAATAGTAATGAACTCGTGCACTTTTTTGCATTTAAAACTGCTTATAATGTTTGATAATGAATAGAAACTAAAATCTCCATACATTTTCAAACGGCTTCATATCACTCTTATAAATAAGTACGGACGATATCACAAATGGCGCAATTATATCCCGTATGGTTAGTACGATAGCCCGAATAGGTGGTTAAGCACTTTTTATGGTTATTTTGTATGCACTGTATTTGTAAAACAACAAAACATGATTAATTAAGAAAAAAATCGTCAATACAGAAAATACAGATTTTATAATAGAGTGGATACAGATTTTTTATAAAACCACCTGGCAGCTCTGCTACTAACTGTCACGCTCTCGACTTGGTGGGATGCAAACAAAAACAAAAAATAGCTCACCTGTAATGGCTGCTTGAGTTTTCCAAACGTAAATTTGCAAGTTTTCCAGTTTTCCAACCTGTTAATCCATAAGTTCCAACATTACATTACTGAAAATGACCTCCGCTCTATATCTGGAACATTACCTAGATGGTGAGTAGCGGATCGTAATAGAAAACAATGTTATTTTCATTCTACTCCCCCCCCCCTTGGCTTGCCAACAGGATTGGAACATCTGCCGAATGAGCTGAAGCGTAATTTCACGCTGATGCGAGATTTGGACTCCCGCGCACAAGTCTTGATGAAATCCATCGATGAAAAGGCGAACGAATTCATGAAGCAACTGGTTAACTCGAAAGAAAATTTCCCAGATGATGTGAAGAAGGAAAAGTTACGAGCGATTCAGGAGCTGTTCAACAAGGCCAAGGAGTACGGAGACGATAAGGTACAGCTTGCCATTCAAACATACGAACTAGTGGATAAGCACATTCGTCGGTTGGATTCAGATCTAGCACGGTTCGAGGGTGAAATACAGGACAAAACATTGAATGCTCGTGAGAAATCGGAGGAAACCGTAACAAAGAAGGGCGGTCGCAAGAAGGTTAAAGATGCGAAGAATTCCGCCAAAAAGAAGCGGGCCCACTCGTCGGAGGATGAGGGAAGGGCTGCTGGAGCTAGTAGCACAGGTGCTAGTGGGAACACCGGCGGCAACACTAGTGCAAATGGTAAAGGCAAAAACACCAAGAAGCAGAAGGTAAATCAAGAAAAAGAGGGCCGCAAAGGTCATAAGGTAGGATCATCGTTTCATCTCTCATTTTGTTCAGTTTTTACTGCATTTAATAAATTGTTGTTTAGTAGTTGGTTGCTGATATTTTTTACTATTGATACATATATTTGTAAGCTCCCAAATGTATTAGCTTTTTACAATGTCAGTTTTCTTTTGAAAGCATTGTAAAAAAGGAAATTCCCAACAAAGTTTTGGCTGTCATATTTTAGAAATGAAAAATCCACACTTAATTGTTGGTAAATCCTATTCCATTTTAATACGAGCATGTATATATTGGGTGGAGGAACTAAATGTTGATACCTCTCAAGTAAAAAAAAAAATGGCAAATTTGATTTTTGTGTAAGTATATGCAATAATTTATCATCACCATTTTCATATCATTGTCTATAAGGCTGGTACCGGTCGGTCAGTATTTGATTCTGAAGAGCTCGTTACCAGCTGTAGAAGTTGTCAGAATTCTGGTAGTTTTAGTTGCTAACATCGCTTGCATGCATCATTTAGATTTCGATCGCCTCCTTGTTCTAAAGTCATTTTGAATTCTAACATGCCTTTTCCTAATATTTATAGAAAAATGCAGAGCAGGATGATAGTGCCCAAGATGGAGGACATGGAACACCTCATCCGAGTGACGTTCTGGATATGCCGGTCGACCCGAACGAACCCACATATTGTCTGTGCCACCAAGTATCTTACGGCGAGATGATTGGTTGCGATAATCCGGATGTGAGTATTGGGATGAAGGCATATTTTTGCATGGATATTATAATCTCGCCCTAAATTCTCAGTGCCCCATCGAGTGGTTCCACTTTGCCTGTGTCGGTCTCACCATCAAGCCGAAAGGTAAGTGGTTCTGTCCGAAATGTTCGCAGGATCGAAAGAAGAAATAAAAGGTGAAAACCGGTGTCTCGCTGCGGAGAGCAATCTGCAAACGTGTATGAATTTGTCTGCAGTTTCCTGAGACAGGCTACTACTGAGTATTGTAAGAAGAGGCAGTTTTCGTGACAAAGTTTTATTTTAGATGGGTATGACTGTTTCGGATATGAATGTACGAGAAAAATATTGAGGATGTATTCGAATCTAAAAAAAAAATCATTCACTATTCCTTACTGAGAATCTTTATTTTGAGAAATCTCCTTTAGATTTTGAAATACCATAACAGCTGGAGCATATTTTGACCTAAGGCTTAGTAAAATAAATAGTATGTAAATCGCATAAAAATATTCACAATACATAGCAATTGATTTCAACGAAAAACCTCATCGATAACTGTCGTCAATCATGCTTGATCCGGCGGTTTGAATTGACACTTTTTCGCGTGGGTTCTCATGTTGCTAGACTGCGTAAAGGTTTGACCACAGCTGGGGTGGGGGCACTTGTACGGTTTGTAGCCGGTGTGATAATTCAGATGAGTCTTCAGATGATGCTTTTTGGTAAATGCCTTCGGGCAGATTGGGCAAGCGAATGGTTTGATTCCGGAGTGCAGTCGATGATGCAGTGTCATATTGCTACGGTCAGCAAAGCTTTTCCCACATACTGAGCACTGCAATAAAGGTATACTTTTAGTGATAGTTTTGAAAAGAAATACAGTAGAATATACTATTACCTGATAAGGCTTTTCCCCCGAATGCGTTCGTAGATGTTGCTTCAAAAGCATCTTCCTTGAAAATCTCTTGCCACACTCGTTACACTTGTGCGGTTTTACACCTGTATATATAAAAAAATCAGCATTAGTTGACAAAACTTTCTTCATGCCATTACCGTTCCTACCCGTATGAATCCGAACGTGCATGTTGAACGCAACTCGCTGGTTGAACGATTTTGGACAGTGCGGGCAGGCATATTCCTTCTTGTTGCGGTGAATCTTCAAATGGCTACTGAGGTATCCCTTGTCGTTGAATACTTTTCCGCACTCCGGACATTTGGCGGCGAATTCCTTCGTTCCACGGTGAACGGAAATGTGGTACTTGTAGTTTCGTAGCTGGGAGAAACCTTTTCCGCATTCCTCGCACTCGAAGCGCGGTGATTTGTGCGTTTTCTCGTGAGTCTGGAAGTGTAGAAACATACAGTTGAATTAATTTGGTACGTGCAACTAAGCAGTTAATTTAGTTTTTGGTACGATTGCGGATCCTGGATGCAAAAGGCTATAAGTGATTGAAAGGTAATTACCAAAGATGACAAGAGTGTAACGTGCTGGAGGATATAGCCACTTTAATACTCTTCGGTCATTCGTGATTTGTCCGGGATGAGATTTGAACTTGTGTCTTTGGCGTGAGAAGTATGGATGTTAAACACTACGCTTGGGCCTCGGCCCAGGACTAGTGAGGCTACCATAGATAGATCGTTCTTTTTGGACTCGTAATACCCTGGACAGACTATGGCTTATATCATGTAATATAAGCTGTCTTGCAATGAGCACTCATACATCTAGTTTTCACTGGAAATCCTATGTATGAGTGCTCATTGCAAGACAGCCTATATTACATGATATAAGCCGTAGTCTGTCCAGGGTATAAGGGGCTACATATATGTTTTGTTTTTATTCTTTATCATAGAGATTTTTTTGTAGGCGTTGGCCAGATTTGGATTTTTCGGATATAATCCTAAATAGGACGAATCATACATCTAACATAGTAGTGCTTACAGTGTCACATGATTTAATAACCACCGCCTGCAACTAATGTTGGAGGGGCCGGCAGGGCTGATTACGGATCAAAATAACTCTAACACTAAAATGATCTCGAAACTAACGCTTATTCATTGCACTTTAAGTCATAAAGTAGTTTTATTTATTTTCGGTGGACATTGGCCAATATTGGATTTTTTATATAAATGTAATCCTAAAAAGGACCTAGATTATCCTCAAGACCGCGCTTGGTCACAATTTGTATTGTGATAATTCAACACTCAATGGGTAAATTATAAAATTTGAGAAGAATTTGAAACAAATGGAACTTGGTGTGTAGAGTGCACTGCCCACCGGTTGATGCTGAAGTCTGGGCAAGTAAGTGGGTTAGGGTCTAATGATTTCTGAATAGAAAATACAATGCAGGTGGACATTTTATTTATACTCTCCATGTTATAATCTTTGAATCAGTTTTAGGGTTTTGGGTAAACAGAGGCAGAGCGCGGATGTTTATAAAGTACACGCTGAGAAAATTGACCTTATTGTACCAAAAAAAATATTATTGAAATACTTTGCAATGTCAAATATAACTTTTTTTGAATTCAATATTTATATTTTGTAGCTTCAAAAATATTTTTTGTTGTTTTCATTGCAAATTCTGGAAACAAATATATTGTAGATTCAATAAAATATATTTTTGTCTTCAAATATTATTTTAACTACTTTTTAAAAATATATTGTAAATTTAAAAGCAACACTTTTCCAAAACATACACAGGCTCATTTTGTCAATGTATGTGTGTGTTTTCAATGCTTGCGCATGCTCGGCTTCCCAGTCTCGTCGGAAGAAGTTCTTTTTGAACAAGTTGTCAATTGCTTTCTTTGTAAGAAATTCAGTATTTGCATTTTAATACGTGTTTTAACGATTTTTTCCCCAATTCCAGCAAATCAATACACCGTGGAAACGTTACCCGTTTTGAAACGCAAACTATTAATTTACATACCGTTAATGAGAGGTCATAATTCCGGTATTTTTCGTATAATTGATAAACCTATTGAATCACTATTTGTACCGTTTGTTAATAAATAGAAAATGAAACCAAAAACAATTTTTAAATTTATTGAAAATTATTTCTCGAATAGAAAAACTGCTAAAATTAAAAATTAAAATATTTATGCCAAACCAATTTTATTTTTAAATTATTAAAAACAAATTGTTATTCGCAGCATTTTTTTTTTAAATAAAAAAAGTTATTGTTGGTAGCAGGTAGCAGGCATGGAAAATCATTTGCATTCATTTCGTGCATTCATTTGCATTCATTTGCCTCTAACTGTATTTCATCAACAGCATTCCGCAAAATGATGTATAGAGCTTTTGTACGTTTTGTGTCTCTGATGCATGACGAACCAGAGCGAACAGAAGCCACTACTGTTTTTCAGTGAATGTATTTTACATTCACTGAAAAATAGTAACAAGTTCTGCCTGCTCTAGTTGGTGATGCATAAGTGATACAGATTTAAGATATAAGCAAAAGTTGTAGCTAATAACAAAACCTACAAAAGCTCTATACATCATTTTGCGGAATGCTGTTGATGAAAAAAGTTAGAGGCAAATGAATGTAAATGAATGTATGAAATGAATGTAAATGATTTTCCATGCCTGGTTGGTAGCAACTTAATTTTTTTTATCAAAAAAAGATTTTGTCTGTTTGAAAATAAATATTGTAAATTCAACAAAATATATTTTTAATTGCGTTTTTGACAGATTTTGAAAACAACAATATTTTATGTCCGAACAATAAAGATTTATTGTTGAATTCAATAAAAAAAAGTTATTAGCCGTGAATGATTATTTTTGTTGTTGTTTTAATACATAATATCATTGAAATTAAAAAACTTTTTTCTGCGTGTACTATCAGTTAAAACTGTGTTTTTGAGATTTATCTCTACAAATATTCTTTGGTGTTTCCTAGCGGATAATGATGTTGGTGTTCGCTGATTCATAGAATGGATGGGATAAACATTGAGCTGTCCAAAGCTGGGCGTTCTTGAATTTGTGGTACTTGCACAACATTTTATATGAGTATCCAAGTAACCAAATAGTCACAAAGTAGCTTTGAATGTGGGTTCAGAGTGGGACAATGTCACTGAGACTCAATATGGTAGCTTGGGTATTCGGATCAAACTATTACTTATACTTATAAAAAAAAAACTAATTCTGGTTGTATTTCTTTTTCGTTTGCATGCATTCCGGGTAGTGAGCGAACATGATGAAGAAGAAGAATTTTTTTTTGACGTAGAACTACGTCTTTGTCGACTATACTGGGGTGCAAATCAAAAAATATGTGTGGTGAAGGAGTGTTAGGTTTTGAACGCTTGTAACTTTGTCATTTATAGATGAAATTTAAATCTAAATACGCCAATCGATAGGATATTACATTACAAACCTGTTGAAATAAAAAAATTCCAATTTTTTTTGTATTTAAACTATGGAAAATGTACAAATGATAATTTTATCATTGATTTCATGAAATAAGCCTTTTTCCCAAACCCAGTCATCATAAACGAATACCACTTGAACCTGAAAAGATATAAATCAGCGCTGCTCTCATGCCTCTGCTCATTACCGCTTCGGACGGCGTGGATCACGGCGTGTCCACCACAATGAGGAATGAGACTTGAAAAAACGTGCATGTAAAACCCATGTCCTGCAGTAAGCAGGACCAAATCAGCGGCTAAATGTGGATCACGGCGTGACCACAATGAGGAAAAGTAATTATGTAAACCCCCTCCCCCTTTCACAACAACCTCTTCCCCTCCCCCCACTCATCAACAACATTGAAATACTTGAAAATTTTAAGATAAAGTATAATAGTCAAAAATGCATGAAAAACATCAATTTTGTGTGGTTCTACGTCATACTGCGGTCGTGTCTAGGACACAACCATTTAATTTTTTTTTTTTTAATTCTTTATTTAAGAGATTTTTAGCCTTAGGCTAGTTCATCTCTAAAGAAGAAGAAGAAGATGGCTTTATCACAGAGCCCCGTCTCGGAACGAGTGTATTGTTGATGGACCTGGTCTACGATTCAAGATTGGTTTCTGTAATGATAAGTATCACGATCTTCATCGAAATGTAAGTATTATTGACAATAATCATAACAATCTCGTATATACATTGAAATACATATATACAAGGGAAGGGACGGTCCAACAGGGCACCCGATGGAAGCGATTTGAACGGGGAGAGTGGGAATGCCAACTCCCTGTTGATAACATTTCGTGGATAAAGGGCGTGCTCTTCTCTCCACTCATTGGGGCATCTTCCTGTTTGGGGACTTGTCTTTTTGACCAATTGGTTGATTTAGTTGCTTGAAGGAGATTCTTTATTGTTCCGTAGATGCGTATAGGCGACTTTGCCTATCGATCTACCCAATCCGTTTTTGGCCGTTCATTCAGCGACATGTTGAGGACAATCAGAGGTTATTAAGCTTGATCAAGATAAACAGAGCAGAGGGCCCACTGCTGTCGGACTTAGTTTCCGTGCTACAATGGGTGGTAAACCACTATCATCATATCAAAGCTCTCATTTAATAAATGTGAAAGTACATTTAGTACAATAAGTTGAGATCATGCAATAAGCTAATATGCGTTAAACAATAAGCATGAAATGCGAATAAAAAGAAGAAGAAGACGAAGTACATTGTGATCATAACAAAGTGTACTCCTAATAGCTACGTTACATTTACATATTTTAAGATATTTTAATCAAATTTATGTTTTGGCCCAATGTCACTAACATTGAATGTTAGTAAAATTAGATATCAATTTCAACCAACCATTTTCAGTCGTAAATATATTATTGATGAATATATTCACATGCTTAACATTGTTTTCCTTGCTAAAATGTGAATGTTGTAAGGTAGGGAACGACATTTTTGATTTTTTGGCCCATTGTCACCCCCGTTTACGGTAGTTAAAGAAATTTTTTGAGCATGAATTTATTTCAAGTTCGTTTTTTCCGTTGATTTGTTTTTCGTCGATCTTGTTTTCCGTAAGGAGTACCAATGCTACCAACACCAGGGAGCCAGCTATCACACCTGGACCCTATCTATCGACCCATCAACTCATGGAGTTCAGAGATTTTATGCCTCATAAAATCCCGACGGCGCCTTTTGGAGTGAAATGCAGTCACGCTTAACACTACACCACCTGCGCCGCTAAGTTCGGTTTTCGGATTGGTAATGGCTAGATTTAGTTGGTAACAATTGCAGCACGAAAACGCCACGTCTAACACGGTGCATATGGAAAAATGCAAACTTTAGAAGTATTGAAAATCTTGGACATTTAAAAATTTACAAAAATCAATTTTTGGTAATTTTTTTTTACTTTTGTACTTAACTATGTAATTTTAAACAGAAAA